GGAGGAGACGGAAGGAGGAAGGAAGGAAGGAAGGAAGGAAGGAAGGAAGGAAGGAAGGAAGGAAGGAAGGAAGGATGGATTTTTTCATGGTAAAGGGACTGGAGTCCGTGTTGATGAAAACATCTTGGTGGCTGCCATGACTGGCAGTGGCTGCAACAGTGCAGTGATGGGGCTGCGGCCTTCCCCTGATCAGCCTGGTTGACTCCCACAAAGGGAGGCCAGACTGTGGCTTAGGCCCTCTCCCCAAGGGGAGCAGGGAGCGGGCCTACGCCATCAGTAGGACATCCCCTGAGCGGCAGTCAGATTGGAAAGGATGCAGGCTGGGCTGAGGGACCACCACCCCAGTGCATCAATTTCATGCACCGGGCCTCTAGTATTAAAATAAAAGCTAATATTAATATTTTTAAAAATTAGGTGAGAGATTATTGTCTTTCTTAATCTCATACATAAGGACTCTACCAACAGCTGAAAATGTAAAAATAGCTATCAGGGATTGCTTTAAGGACTTCTAAATATCAACAAGAAAGATTTCACAGGAAGAACATGAAGAAATTTTTAAATATGCCAGAAAAACTGAAAGCTTCCCCTGCTAAGATCAAGAATAATATAAGGATGCTGTTTTTACCACTGCTATACAACATAGTTCTGAAAGTTCTAGCCAAAACAATTGGACAAAACAACAAATTAATTAATTAATTAATTAATGGTATTCAAATAGGAAAATATAAGTACAACTACTTCTATTTCCAACTACTTCATAATATGAACCTATATATGTAGAAAATTTCAAAGAAACCACAAGAAAGCTACTAGAGCTAATAAATGAATTCAGCAGTGATGCAAAATATATAATAAACATGCAAAAATCAATTTTGTTTCTATACACCAGCAATGAACAATCTGAAAAGGAAATTAAGAAAGCAATTCCATTTACAATAGCATCCAAAGAATAAAATACCTAGGGATAAACTTAAGCAAGAAGGTCAATGATGTTTACACTGAAAATTTACAACCTGTTGATGAAAAAATTAAACGAGACCTAAATTAATGGACAGACAACTAGCATTCATGGTTTCAAGACTCAATATTGTCAACTCAACGTGATAAACAGAATCAACACAATCCCTATCAAAGTTCCAATAGCCTTTTTTTGAGAAATGGAAAAGTAGATTCTCAAATTTATAGGAGAAGGAGAGATGGGAGTAATTGCTTCATGGGTACAGAATTTCTGTTTGGGGTAATGAAAAAGTCTTACAAAAAAGACAGTGGAAATAGCTACACAACATTGTGAATGTAATGCCACTAAATCATACACTTAAAATGATTATAATGGCAAATTTTATAGCATATATATTTTACCACAATAAAAAAATATGTCAAGGATGAGAAAGAACATATATGTAATTTCTAGGTAGGGACTGTGTGATTATCCTGCATATGTAGTGATATGGAATAATCTTGAATATACATAATTAAGGAAGAAAATGGCATAATCATTTTTGTCTCTTTTTTATTAGGGAAAAAAGAGTAGTATAGGGAGACTCCATGCATATAAAACAGGAGGAAGGATATCTATCAATTCATTCCACAGAAATTGGAAAGACTTTAAAAGTGTGACAATACCAAGTGTTGACAAAGATGTAGGTTGGCAAGAATGCTCATACACCACTGACAATTCAATCACCCCATGGTATAACCTACTTGGAAAGCAATTTGGCAATTTCCAATTTAATTCTTATATGACCCTAGGTCAGTGTTCTCTAATAGAATTTTCTGCAATGATGAAAATGTGCTATATCTGTGCTATCCAATACAGTAGTCAGTGGTCACTTGTGATCTATTGAGCATTTAAAATGTGAATGAGGAATGAAATTCTTAATTTTATTTTACTTAAATTGTGTGGTACTTATATAATGTAATATCAACAGTGAAAATGAATGAACAAGGGCTACATATATTGATAGGGATAAATCAAAAAGCAACACTAAAGGGAAAGTAAATTGTAGATCAATGTATAAAACATCAACAAAACATTATACAAAGTTTTGAAATATATAAAGTAAAATCATATTTTCCTATGTGGGATATAAAACTGATAGCAACAAATGAGCAAATAAGAAAAATAAAAACTCACAGACACAGACAACAGTATGGTGGTTACCAGACGGAAGGGAGTAGGAGGGTAGAAAAGGGTAAAGGGGATCAAATATATGGTGATGGAAAAAGATCTGACTTTGAATGGTGGTCATACAATGTAATACACAGATGATGTATCAGAACTGTACACTTGAAACCTATGTAATTTTATTAACCAATGTCCCACTCAATAAATGTAATTTAAAAATAAATTTAAAAATACAGAATTACAAAGTAATATTACATATGTCTTAGGAAAATATGCAGATGAGAAAAAGTATGTCATTATCCCAATACTTCCTAATACATTCAGAGGAGGAGTGATTACTGGTCCCATTGCTGAGACAGTTAAGTGTATTCCAGTTCAGTACCAGGTCTTTGGTAACATGCCTACAGAAGCCAGGCATTGAGAACAGAAAGAGAGCAGACAGAAATAAACAGGGATAGCATGGGGCCCACGTCATTTTCCAATCTTGGTTTCAAGGCAAAGCATTCTTATGATCTAGATGTCTTCCCTCTCCTCTGAGCCAGGGACCCTACTGGTATTTCCTTAACTAACCCAGAGACCACCTATAGGTCACATTCTTCAATTCTTAAGATTTCTAAATCTGTGTGACAATCATTTTTTAACCTTTAAAAATGTGAAACCGGCCCAGCTGGTGTGCTTCAGTGATTAAGGGCTGATCCATGAATCAGGAGGCAACGGTTCGGTTACAGGTTAGGACAGGTTTCATCCCCAGAGAGGGGAAAGGTGTAGGAGGCAGCCAATGGGTGATTCCCTCTCCCTTCCTCTCTCTGAAGTCAATAAAAACATATTTTTAAAATAAATGTGAGACCATAATAATAGTAAAGAAATACAACTTTTCATTTTAAACTTACAGCTGCTCTGGGGGGAGTCACTGGAGAAACATGTCGAGGAACACTCACTGGTTGTCTAGAGACTTTTCCTTGATTTTTTCCATCTGACCTGAAAGACAGAATTACTTTTGAGCTAAATGAAGTTTAAAATATTTCTATATGGCGTATTACGCATACCTTGCATATTCCCAAAAACAGAATAATGATGTTGGTAGAGGTGATTACGATAATCATGATGACAGATAAATTTGTCCCAGCATTTTTAACAGCTTTCACACATTTCTAATCCTTACAGTACTAGAAAGTTTTATTAACCTGTTTCACAATGAAATGAAATCCTGAGAAATTATAAAATTTTGGTCAATGAGACTAAACTTTGACTTTTCTCCTCAATTCTTCCTAAAATCAGAGAAGAGTAAAAGCATACTTTTAAGCTACAAAATTTAAAGTAGTCACTCTAAGAACTAGGAAGTTCAGAAGGAGCAAACGATAAGCTGCAAATATATCAGTTGACTTTCAAACATGCTGAGGCAAAAGCAAGTCAGCTAGGAAGAGGTGTATAGGACGTAGCTAAAATTTCGGAGATGCAGACTGGGGAATTACATGACTTGGTCAGTCTGAAGTGTGTAAGAAAGAGAAAGAACAGATAGGAAGATAAATCTATTGTAGACTATGTTAAAAATTAAAGCTCACATCAGGATACTCTAAGAAAATACTCTGTGTGAGAAAAATAGAGCAATGAAGTAAAGGTAAGCAATCAAGGAGGGTATGTATATTTTGAAATCATTAACATAATAAAACTTATTGCTAAGTAATTACACAGTGCCAGTTAATGTGCTGTGGGTTTTACTTGTTAATACTTTATTCATTTAATCTTCACATCAACTTTAAGAGATAGGTATTATTATTGCTATTATTATTATTATTATTTTAGAAGAAGTAAAATAAGAGTTTTACTATTCAAAGAGTTTCATTATTCCAGTTCATAATTCTAACAAGTAACAAACTGGAACTTAAATTTAGAGCTGATTACAAGGTCCATGCTTATCTATGCTACATTCTATTGCCAACATATAAATGATAGTTGAGAGATAGTAGTACAAGTGTTAAACATACAGATTAGATATGTTAGTTGTCTGAATTATGACAACCCTTTCTTCCACCAAAACTTATTTCTTAAAAGCCTATAATTTAAAAATCCTCTTCCCCAAACCGTGATTTGAACAGCTCTTCCTCTGTGAGAACTGATTCTTAAAACAGACATGGGAGAAAAATTTCAACATTTATACTTTTAAATCTTTATTGTGTATTTTAATCTCTAATTAAGAAGTCCAAATCAGAAACTATAGCCCAAAATCCTACTTATCCCACTATCAAACATTAATGTTAAGCAAAATAAATTCTAAGGGCCATTTTCAGTATATACAGGCTGGTTACCATAATACTTTCCCCTCATCATTTTAAGAGGTAGCTGAATAATCATTATCCTTCTACCCCTGCTAATCATGTCCAAAGAATAGAGAGAAAATTTAGAACCCTATTTTTAAAAAAGCCTCTATGATATGACTATCATCATTATAATTACTTAAATTATATTATATGAATTTAGAAAAAAAATCTAAGTACTCATATGTTTGTGATCTCTTCTTTCTGAAGCAGCTTTGCCGTAGTTGATTTCTCTTGAAGAAGACAAAAGCAGCAAGCACAATAAGGGGAACAATTAAGAAGAAGAATACTAGAAGTCCATCCCTCAGTGCAGTATTCTTATCTAGAAAGAAGAATTTATATTTATGATCATTAAATTAGAAGTTAACTCATATTAACTAGAACATAGTAGGTGATATAAATGTTTAACATTAATTTTCAGATTGTTCAAAAGTTAAACTGATATAAATTATATACACAGAGAAGTCTGCTCATACTTCATCCCTGCCCACTTCTTTTTGCCTTCCCCAGAAGAACCATTTATTAATATCTTATATTATCTCACATTATTTCTTTATGAAAATATAAGCAAGAATAAAGTATGTTATTGTTGTCAACCTTTGCTTACATAAAAGGTAGCATACCATAAACACTACATAGCATGTTACTTTTTTCACTCATCTATATATCTTCCCAAACCATACATTGAGAACCACCTCATCTTCTGTACAGTTATACAAAACTACATTGCAAGGATGTCCTATAGTTTAATGAACCAGTACCCAACTGATACTTTCATTTTTTTAATCTTTTGTTATTTAAAAATGCTATAATGAATAACCCTAAAATAATGCTATTATTATAATGAATAATAACAATGGGTGCTGGCATATCTACACTAATAAAAGAGAAACATGGTAATTGGCGTACAACTGCTACCCTTTTCATTGGCTAATCAGCGAGATATGCAAATTAACTATCAGCCAAGATAGTGGCCGGCAGCCAGGCAGCTTGAAACTAACATGAGGCTTGCTTGCCTCAGTGACGGAGGAACCCAACGTTCCCTGCCTGCCGCTGCAGGCCTCTGAGCTTGCAGTTTCAGAAACATTGTAACAAATATAGAAGCTAAACAAACTCCAGAAACCTGCTTTCAGCCAGCTGGGA